AGACTGAAGAGTCTAGTGGCCCAGGTGGCTGAATCTTCTCCCAGCCAAGTTCTTCTTTATATACATCTCATTTGTGATGTATATAAAGGTATATACTTTCATGATAAATAAGGTCGCAGAGCAGAGAGAAAAGGAAAACTAACCACCTAGTATATGCAGAGAGATACCAAATGCTGCAGTAGATCAAAAAGACTTCCTTGAGCAAGGGGCAGGAGGAGAAAGCTATATCTAGCAAAGATAATCCAGATGTGAAGGTATCAAAGAAGCCTTGAGAATCTGGAAAGACAGCCCAGAAAACAGTGTTTCTTCACCTGTAACAGCACCAAGTATGCTAAAATATCCACATGGGAATTATATTGTATGCTGTTTTAATTAAAGTTGATTGTATTCTACCTTGGAATTGTAACTAATTCTGTTTGCTCTTTGAGAAATTCTGATTTTTTTTTAATATCCTTTGCTTCAGCAGCTGAGATTTCAAGTAACAGAAATTGGAAAATAATCCCCTGTGTTTCCAGTTGGATGAATTGTTTGCTTGTAAAGTTATTTCCTAAGATTTTTTTTCAATTAACATATTGGATCCTTAAGGAGTACCCTGGATAAATGCCCAAGTCGTTCTTTGGTTAAGTAGAATAGCACAAAATCTGTATCCAGGGAACTCAATCCTCTGATTACAGAGCGGGTCAAAGCTGTACCTTAATTATTTCTTTTAAAAGTCAAAAGATTTTTAAAATGATTATTAGGGAGTTTTTCTTCCCATTCTCTCTCAGATAAGTATTTTGGCTATGGTGCCTGATTGTTGAGAAAAGAAAAAAAAAAAAAAAAACAGGAGAAAAAAATAAAACCTATTATCAACCACATTTGGGATACCACTAGGAGCCACCTAACTTTATTCTGAAATTTCTGCTTCAGGGAGATTACCAAGCATCCAGAAAGAAACAAAAGGAGATTCATTTAAGAATATGTGACCTATTGTGACAAACAGAAGTTCTGAGGTGCCCTGGAATCAGAAGAGGTACATTTTCATAAGCAAAAAAAAAAAAAAAAAAAAAAAAAAAACATATGTTGGGTGTCTGGGGAGGCTTTGGCCTCAACAAATATACCTGTAACTTTTCTATGTGTAGCTGTAGCTTAAAATTTGAAACTAAGTATTTGAAAGTTGTATCCAATTTGCTCAAAGTTGAAAGAGAAATCAGAGAACAAACAGTTTTTTTTTTTAATTGAAAGGCATTGCTGAGGTGAACCAGGACTATTATTCTAACAATATAAAGCACATTCTTCCAGATTACCATTGATAATGTCTGTAAATAAGTAGGGGTAATCTGAATCTAATATGGATATGATACATTTGCCTCTGGTATGAAAAAATAGATGGGAAATTATCACTCTTCTACTGCAAAGCATTCTTACTCCACCAGTTACCATTGATTCATTTACGCATTTATTTATTCTCCCTACTATTGGGTATTGAACTTATATTAGTTCCTAGGCATTGAAGATACAACAGTAAATCAGACAGACTTAGATCAGTCCTCAAAGTACTTAAAGTATATCTGTGCCTCTCAAAATTCATGTGATGAAATCCTAACCCCCAAGGTGATGGAATCAGGAGGTGGGCCTTTGGGAGGTGACTAGATCATGAGGGCAGAGCCCTCACCAATGGAATTAGTGCCATTACAATATAGATTCCAGATAGACCCTCATCCCTTCCATCATGTGAGGTACAGCTAGAAGGCACTGTCTATGAGCCAGAACACAGGCTCTCACCAGGCACCAAATTCACCAGCACCTTAACCTTGGACCTTCCAGCCTCCAGAACTAGGGGAAATAAATTTATGTTGTTTATAAGCTACTCAGCTTACGATATTTTGTTATAGCCTTCTGAATGGACTATGGCACTGTCTAATGAAGGACACAGATAATGATCTAAGACGTAATATGCCATATAATTCATGCCAACATGGGGGAAGGCCAAGTAGCTCTGGGAGCACTTAGTAAGACTACCCAGCAATATGTGGAAATGATGATAGGCTGACAGGAAATACATTCCCTAAAGTGGCATTTTAGCTTAGGTCTGAAAGCGTGAACCAGGTAAAGGAGGATTCAAAGTAAAGAGGGCAAGAAAAAAGAGAGAGAAAAAAAGGTTCTCATAGTATGTTGGAGAAACTAAAAGAAGTTTGGTATGTCTTCAGTGTAAAGTTTGGGAAACGGTGGTAGAACACATGGCTAGAGGAGAGAGCAAGTCTTAAAGCTGAGAAGATTTGAGACCTGACTTCTGAGATCTGTATAGGCTTGGAATCAGATAGAGCCTGGTTTGATTCCCAGTTCTGATCTTTCCCAGCAACTTAGGCAAGTCATGACACTTCTAAGCCTCATTTTCCTTACCTATATAATGGGAAATATACCTGTTTGATAGGATTGCTTGGAAAAGTAAATGATGGAGCATATCTGTACCTGATAGATAGGAGGTATTCAATAAACAGGAACTACAGCTGTTGCTGTTACTATAGTCAAATACAGTGGCATTCCAGCAAGGAACAAAATATCAGGAAAGCAAGCTCTATTGCCATCAGTTTAGGCATCAGCAGAGCTACATATGTTGACATTTTGGGGTGGGGTACCTTTCTGATGTGTCTCAGTATCTTATTCTTTTGAGAGTTTAACCCTATGCTTTGTTTCAAGAAAGCAAAGATTTCCTTCTGTATGCAGTGGAGTCATTTGATATAATCATTCTAGGCATTGTGCCCATCCATTATTATACTTTGTCCTGGTCACTCATGCTGCCTAAGAAGATGCCTAAATTATCATCCATTTCCCCTCTGAGTGGGCATAAGAGGTAAATGAAATGAACAAATGCAGAGGTTGCTAATACCTATATTGTTATCTTTTTGTTATCAGCCTTAAGACTCCTTGTAAGCAGAAAAAGAAAAAAAAAAAAAAACCCTAGACAGTTATGAAGGATGGTTTCTCAAAAAAAAAAAAAGAAAGAAAAAACGTCTATTGAGATTTTTACAGGCCTTCTGATTGCTTTTCACATCACTAGGCTCAAACAAACAACCTCTCTGTATAGAGAGGTAGTAGGAGGACATGCCCAAAGCACTAAAGCTCTCCCTGAGCCAAATGAGAAGACTGTCATCTCATTTCTTTTAGCCCCTAAGGCTGTGGGCTTGGTTTTACTATATGAACACTCTAACACACCTGTACTGAGACTTTCCCCCTTGCCAGGTAACTGGGGATCACAGAGATAAAGTACACACTCTATGCCCTCCCTGAGGTCCTTGGTCTGTTGTGGGAGACAAACCAGTGAGCCAGTGTTTGTTTTTTTTTTTTCAATGCTGTCTAATGGACAGTCCCTGTACTAAATGCTTCATATGCTTGATTAGAGTCCCCCAAACCACCCTTTGAATTAGGTAGTATAAACTTCAATTTGTGGATAAAAATAATTGATATTTAAAAGTGGTTGCTAGGCTGGGCATGGTGGCTCAAATCTGTAATCCCAGCACTTTGAGAGGCCAACTCAGGCACATCACCTGAGGCTGGGAGTTCAAGAGCAGCCTGGCTAACATGGTGAAACCCCATCTCTCCTAAAAATACAAAATTAGCTGGGCATGGTGGTGTGCACCCGTAATCCCAGCTACTAGGGAGGCTGAGGCAGGAGAATCACTTGAACCTGGGAGGCAGAGGTTGGAGGGAGCCAATATCACGCCATTGCACTCCAGCCTGGGTAATAGAGTGAGACTCCGTCTCAAAAAAAAGTGGTTACTAGTAACTTCCCCAAAGATAGGTAGTGAGTAGCAGAGCTGGGATGGGGCTGGAGCAGTCTTGCTTTTGTACTTTATGTCATGCCACCTCCTCACTCCTTACAGTCTGTCAGTGGGTTGCTCTGATATATGGTATTAAGGGGTTACTTAAGTACTAAGTACTGTGGAAGAAATGTGGGACCACAGAATGGAGGTGCTTTTGACAGAAGGCAGAGAAGGAGAAAGATGGAGTCAGAGCAGCTTGCCAAGGGAGGTGGCCTCTGCTCTAAGATTTGAAGGCTGAGCAGGGGTTGGCATGTGAAAGCTTGAGGAACGGAGACATCCTTTGAGCAAGAGTGAGCCACAGTCACACCTTCATGGAAGCTTAGAGAACAGGATGTCTTCAAGGAGCTGCAGGTCGCTTGGTACAGCTCCTGGTTATCTGCGACAACAGAGGGAGAGTGTGGGACAGATGATCTGAAATTTATGTCTGTTTGGCTTCTGCACGTATAATGTTTTTATTTATTTATATCCTGCCTTGTTCCACAAAGGTTTTGAGGAAAATTTTTTATATGGTTTTTATGCAGTGACCTTCCTAATTAAGTTTTTCTCAGCACTGTCATGTTCGTCTTTGTATTCCCTGAGCCATATGCAGAGACTTGAATAAAAGTTGAATTGAATTTACATACTTTGAGCAGTCTGTAAGCAGTTAGCAAGGGCAACTGGTCCCAGAAGCTTGTGGGTGGAAAGGAAAACTTTTACTGGGCCAAAATGTAAAATTGCTTAGGTTGAGGTACCGTATTTCACAGAATTTAACATACTATTGATTATAGGGTATGCTGTTATTAATACCTGAAGTGCTATTAAAAAAGAAAAAATCCTGTTCATTAAATTACAACACAGTATAAACTCATCATCTATTGTAAGATGTGTTTTTAAAGAGAAAATGCATGGTGATAATATTATCCCCCACCCCAAATAATCAGAAATTCTAAAAAGTACTGATGCTCTGGTTGACAGTGAGAGAAAATGAAAACTGCTACTTTTTTCTGGAAGGCAATTTGCCAACAACCTAAGCCCAAAAGAGTATGCAAACTCTTTGATCCAGCAATTATATCTCCAGGAATTGAGCCTAAGGAAATATGCATAAAAGTTTATGTCATCCCAGAATTGTTAATAGCAGCAGAAAATAAAGAAGGAATAACTAAAATCTTCATTACATCCATGATGTTAGAGTTTTACAACAGATTAAAATGATGCTCAAGCTTTGTGCAGTGGCAATATCATAGCCAATGAAGTTTATCCGAGGCGCAATTATCACTAACTGAAAACTTTTCCCAATACCCCACCATCATGACTTGAAATAAAATGATGCTAAAGAAATATTTATTTAAGTGAAAAAATTATATTGCATTTTAAAAATCAGGTAATAAAATATTTGTTATAAAATAAAATTACTCCTGTGAAAAAAATATATTTATATTTCATGTTTACATGGAGATTAAAATTTTGAATGACATATATGAAAATGTTGACAGACATTGCCTGGATAAAACAATTGTAGTTGATCATTTTATGTTCTAATTTTTCAAAAATTTGAAAACCACTAGTTAGATATAGGCCTTTTTTTTTTTTGACAGTCTTGCTCTGTCACCAGGTTGGAGTGCTGGAGTGCGGTGGCACAATCTCCGTTCACTACAACCTCCACCTCCCAGGTTCAATCAATTCTCCTGCCTCAGCCTCCAGCCTCCTGAGTGGGACTACAGGTGCACACTGCCATGCCCAGCTAATTTTTTCTATTTTAGTAGAGATGAAGTTTCACTGTGTTACAATGGCCAAACAATACACATGTGAATATTGGAAAGCTAACTGCCTTGTCTTAGACACTTTATTTTTTATGAAAAGGGCTCCTGAATCTCCTGTTTCATAAATGATTCTGTCCAGGCTCCAGGTGGTTCCAACTGAGGTCCTGATTAAAAGGTTGTGAAAAGATTCTTTGATTCCCAATTGGAAATACAGCTTTATCACCTGGAGTTTTCCCTCAAAAGTTGATACCTAAAAGGAGAAAATAAACACTACTACCTCAGGGAGCCTAAGGGTCTGGGGGATGGGTCTTTATGATGTAATCTTAGCCTGAGGCAAACTGTGGGACCCTGAGCACATGTAAGTCAAGTTCTAGGTCCTGCGAGTGGGAAAGAGGGTGATGGGCAGAAGTCAAACTTCGGCTTCAACTTTTGCCATGGCTTGAATGGTGAGTCCTCATCTCTAAGAACCACACTGCTGTAAGTTCACAGCTTTTGTTTTGTAAGTCATTTATAATTCTTCTTAAATATTTTTTCTAAAAGACAAATTTTTTGGTGGCCTAGACTCCACTTTAAGGGGAAAATGCAACACTGACCATATCTATTTACGAGGTGAACTGGACTTTCTACTTCATTCAGGAAATATTTTTGAATGGCCAAACAGAATTCTTGCTTGAATAGGAAAGATTATAACTATGCATTCGGTATTTGTATTTCTTTCTCCAAATTAGTGAGTTGCCTTTATGACATTTTTAAAATGTAGTTTTATATTTATTTATAGCTTGATTTTAAAAAGTAAGCTGTTCTTATACTTCCCAACATATATACCTAACGGTTCCTTAATTTAAATCTCAGTTCATGTACAAGTTTTATTTTGCAATCAAGTTTTATTTACATGCTAATAGAGTTTGGTTTATCATCGCTTTTTGTCAGCTCTGCAAGGTTCGAGCCATTTGTAATCTTTGAATGTTTACATAGTATCTATCTACCTACATCTATTTTTTATATAATATATGGTAGTTGTCACCTCAAAGAGTAAAACAAAGATTTCAAGTGACATGGAAGTCTAGGTCAAGAAGAAGAGGTGGCATTTGGGGAATGAAAGTATGCTTGTGGGCAACTACTGTTTGTCTTTCTTGCACCACTGTCCTCTGCCTCTGAGAGCAGAACTCCATGTTGATCCTGCCACTCCACTTTGTCTTAATAGAGTTACAAGTTTCAGTGCCCTGCCCTCCTGGCTGCAGATCCAGGCCTGGATGATCAGAGCGCCACATCTGCTTGGCTAGGATAGTTGACTCAAGTGTGAACAACTATTCCAAATCCAACAGAGAACCTCCCTGAAATATTTGTATATGGACACAGAGAAAGGAGACATTTTCTCCTTTTTTTTTTCTTTCATTTTGGATTGTGAACCATAAGAATGCCAGTTAGGAGTTATACCTACTTGTTCTGGCCAGATGGAAGAAGTCCAGATGGGAGAACATTTGCTAGGAAAAAAGAAAAACAAAACATAAGGCTACTGCCGAAGGAGAACAGATCTGAAAAGGGAGCACAGTGTCAGACACGTATTTAATGAGACCTTAGAGACTGGATGCCACCTCTACCCTTTGATTTCCCAACAAAATCCATTCTCTTTTTCTTGGTATAAACTTTTTAGAATTGGGTTTCTGTCATTTGAAGCTGCCCAAGTGCTTGACTAATCCTTGGCCCCTTAGTTATCTTCCAGATCATGCTAGGTACATACATATTCTCTCCATGCATGCATAGTTGGCTGCATTCCACTGAATTCTCTATCATATGAGCATCCAAACAGGGATGATTTTATTAAATTAGTAATAGTGTAGTTACTCTGAAGAGAATATGAGTGACTTCAGCCTAGTATCATACTTTCCATAAGCTGTAGCCTTCTCCTAGAAGACTTCAGTGCTGAACTAGGACATCTGTTCACCCATGGTGCAATCAGAGCCTCAATTTTTTTCCATTGCTGAAGATGTAGCACAGTCAGAGGCATGAGATTCCTGTAGACTTATCTTCTTGGTTCTCAAGATTACCAAAGGCCATTTTAGAAAGAAAATAATTATGAGGCTACATGAAATGCAACAAGATTTTATAGATATCAAGGCTGACTTTAGAAGGCAGCTGGAAACAGGATACTCCTCCTCCCACCCTTTCTCCTCCCCAACAAATGCCATATGTCTTCTCACAAAGCATTCTGGCTCACTGCTATGTGGTTGACCTTCGATATTGAAAAAATGCCAGAACACTTGGGACCTAATTTTCCTTTCAGCTCATTGTTACACTCATATTTAATATGGTTAAGGGAAAAAATAAAAATTATGACAAGCTGGCCTGATATTCTTTAAAGTAGTCCATCAATGAGACAGATGTCTGGATACTTCATAATATATATGATAGTTCAGAGAAGGATTAGTCTTTGGGGGCCCTTGAAAAATGCTTCTGTTGCCTAGGGATGTGTTCAGAACCACTTCAGCATTTATATCATCTGTAGAAAAACTAAGAAATATTAGGTTGGTACAATTACTTTTTCATCAACCTAATAGAATGTTTCCACTTCTTTTTTTCTAAATACAATTAATTCAATTTTAGATTACTATATTGGATACAGAACAGTTAATAGAGGAGTTTGCTATTCCATGTGTGGCATGGTAGAATCATGAACCTTCTATAGCATCTGAATAGCAAATGAAATTTCTTCCCCAAATTAAAATAGCTTTTGTGTTGGTTTATTAGGGCTGCCATAGTACCACAAACTAGGTATCTTAAAATGACGGACATTTAGTGTTTCACGGTTCTGGGGACTAGAAGTCTGAAATCAAGGTGTTAGCAGGGCCAAGCACCCTTTGAAACCTGTAGAGGAGAACCTTTCATTGCTTCCTCCAGATTCTGGTGTTTGCTGCCAACCTTGGCATTCCTTGGCTTGTAGTTGCCTCACTCCAGTCTCTGCCTCCCTGGTTGCATGGCCACCTTCTTCCCGTGGGTCTCTCTCATGAGTACATCAGTCATATTGGATCAGGGCCCACTCTAATTCAGTATGACCTCATTTTAACTTGATTTTGCTGACTACATGTGCAAAGACTCATTTCAAATAAGATGACATTCAGAGGTACTATGAGTTAGGACTTTAACATATTTTGGGGAGAACACGATTTGACCCTTAACAGCTAAATTATTGCCTGATTATAAAACTAATACATGCTTATTGTAGTAAAGACAGGTACAAAGAAGAAATTAAAAATCATCCAGATTCCTCCCATCAAAAATAACCATGTTAACAATTTGGTGAAGACAATCCAAGATGGCTGAATAGGAACAGCTCTGGAGTGCAGCTCCCAGCAAGAACACAAAGGGTGAGTGATCACCACATTTCCAAATGAGTTTTACTGCCCACAGACCAGGAGATTCCTGGGCAGAAAAGCACCACCAGTCTCTGAAAAGCATGGCTGTTTCAGCTGGCACAGCAGGTCTCCACACAAAAACTCACACAAATCTAGGTGGCCACTTCAACTGGCACCTGGATGCCTGGGAGACAGAGCCACCCATTCAACTGAAAAAAAAGTCACCCATTTTGGGAGCTGAAACAGGGAGTCAAGTGATCTGGTTTAGCGGGTCCCAGCCCACAAAGACCAACAATCTGAAATGATCTGGATTGAGAGTTTCACACCTGGACCCAGGATGGTCCAGCTCTGTGAGGGGAATGGCATCAACCATTACTGAGGCAGTGCACCATCACTGAGGCAATCCACCACTACCAAGGCAGTCCACCATTACAGAGACAGTCTGCCATTGCTGAGGCAGACCACTCTTAACGAGGCAGTTCTAACTATATCTCCATGAACAAAACTACAAGGAAGTTCACACAGCAGCAGGGCAGAGCCCATGGCAGCTTAGCAATGCCTCAGCTGTGAGACTGTCACTAGGCTACCTCATCACGGGGCAGGGCATCTCTGAAAAAAGGCAGCAACACATCAGGAGCTTATAAATAAAGTCTCACTTTCCTAGGACAGAGCACCTGAGAAAAAAAGGCTGTTATGAGTTCTGCTGCAGCAGACCTCAACGTACCTGCCCAGCAGCTCTGAACAGAACAATGGAGCTCACAGGTCAGCACTTGAGCTCCTATAAGGGACAGACTGTCTCCTCAAGCAGCTCTCTGACCTCAGTATATCCAAAGAGACACCTCATAAAGGAGAGTTCAGGCTGACATCTGGCAGATATCCTTCTGGGACAAAGATAACAGAAGAAAAAACTGGCAGCAACCCTTACTGTTCTGCAGCCACCACAGATGATCCTCAGGCAAGGAGGGTATGGAGTGGACCTCCAGCAGTCCTATAGCAGAGGGACCTGACTGTTAGAAGGAAAACTGAAAAACAGAAAGAAATAACTTCATCAGCAACAAAAAGGACATCCACTCAGAGACCCCATCTGAAAGTTACCAACTACAAAGACCACAGGTAGATAAATCCACAAAGATGGGCAGAAACCAGTGCAAATAGGATGAAAACACCCAAAAGCAGAACACCTCTCCTCCTTTAAGGGATCACAACTCCTCACCACCAAGGGAACAAGGCTGGCTGGAGAATGAGTCTGATGAATTGATAGAAACAGGCTTCAGAAAGGGGGTAATAACAAACTTCTCTGAACTAAAAGAACATGTTCTAAAACAATGTGAAGAAACTAAGAACCTTGATAAAAGGTTTGACGAAATGCTAACAAGAATAAACAGCTTAGAGAAGAATATAAATGAATTGATGGAGCTGAAACTCACAACACAAGAACCTCACAAAGCATACACAAATTTCAATAGCCAAATCAACCAAGCAGAAGAATGGATATCAGAGATTGAAGATCAATTCAAAGAAATAAAGTGAGAAGGCAAGTTTAGAGAAAAAACACTAAAAAGAAATGAACAAAGCCCCCGAGAAATATGGGATTATGTGAAAACACCTAATCTGCATTTGATAGGTATACCTGAATGTGACAGAAAGAATGATTCCAAGCTGGAAAACACTCTTAAGGATATTATCCAGAAGAACTTCCACAACCTAGCAAGCCAGGCCAATATTCAAGTCCAGGAAATACAGAGAACACTGCAAAGATATTCCTCAAGAAGAGCAACCCCAAGGAACATAATCATCAGATTTGCCAGGGTTGAAATGAAGGAAAAAGATGCGAAAGGCAGCCAGAGAGAAAGATCGGGTTACCCACAAAGGGAAGCCCATGAGACTCACAGCAGATCTCTTGGCAGAAACCCTACAAGCCAGAAGAGAGTGGGGGCCAATATTCAACATTCTTAAAGAAAAGAACTTTCAAACTAGAATTTCATATCCAGCCAAACTAAGCTTCATAAGTGAAGGATAAATAAAGTTCTTTATGAACAAGCAGTTGCTGAGAGATTTCATTACCACCAGGCCTGCCCTATAAAAGCTCCTGATAGAAACACTAAACAGAGAAATGAACAACCAGTACCAGCCACTCCAAAAACATACCAAATGGTAAAGGCCATAAACAAAATAGAAGAATATGCATAAACTAACAGGCAAAACAGCCAGCTAGCATCAAAATAGCAGGATCAAATTCACACATAACAATTTTAACCCTAAATGTAAATGTACTAAATGCCCCAATCAAAAGACACAGACTGGCAAATTGGATAAAAAGCCAAAACCCATCGGTGTGCTGTATCCAGAAAACCCATCTCACATGCAAAGATATGCAACGGCTCAAAATAAAGGGCTGGAGGAAGATTTACCAAGCAAATGGAGAGCAAAAAAAAAAAGCAGCAGTTGCAATTCTCGTCTCTGATAAAATAGACTTTAAAGCAACAAAGATCAAAAGAGACAAAGAAGGACATTACATAATGGTAAAAGAATTGATGCAACAAGAAGAGCTAACGATCCTAAATATATACAGACCCAATACAGGAGCACCCAGATATATAAGGTAAGTACTTAATGACTTACAAAGAGACTTAGACTCCCACACAATAATAGTGAGAGACTTTTACACCCCATTGTCAATATTAGACAGATCAACCAGACAGAAAATTAACGAGGATATCCAGGACTTGAACTCAGACCTGGAACAAGCAAACCTAATAGACATTTGCAGAACTCTCCACCCCAAATCCACAGAATATACATTCTTCTCAGTACCACATCACATCTACTCTAAAATTGACCACGTAATTGGAAGTAAATCACTCCTCAGCAAATGCAAAAGAACGGAAATCATAACAAACAGTCTCTCAGACCACAATGCAATCAAGTTAGAACTCAGAATTCAGAAACTAATTCAGAGCCACACAGCTTCATGGAAACTGAACAACTGGCTCTTGAATGTTGACTGGATAAACAATGAAAGGTAGGCAGAAATGAAGATGTTCTTAGAAACCAACAAGAATGAAAACACAACACACCAGAATATCTGGGACACATTTAAAGCAATATCTAGAGGAAAATATATAGCAATA